CAGACGACCCCGTAACAATATGCGTTTTGTACTGCTGTTACACAGCACAAAACGCATAAAAATAACTTTCGTGTACTGACATCTGAAATAACTTTCGTCATCTGAATAACTTTCGTACACACTTTCATGTACTGACATATGAAGTCAAAATTAGGAAAGTTCTGCTGGAAAAACGATTTAGGGGACCAGTCAAGCCAGAAAGCAATGTTCTTCGCAGATGTTTTCTGTCCCTGTAAGACCCAAAGATTTTTAATTCAGCTCTGAGGCACTGTTAGGTTTGGAATTTGGTAAGTGCTGTTACTGATTTTGGTTGAATAGACAGCTGCTTCGTACTAAGGAAGATTAGCCAAGTCAGTCCGAAAATCGTGCCTCTGTAGAAATACATTCTTATCATTTGCGTTTAGGCTTGCTTGGCATTTAAGGTAACAAGGTTTCTGTATGTCGAAATTAAAAGTAAAACTAACAAGAGAGCGCTGCAGTTACAGTGCATTTTTCGAGCTGTCGTTTTATTCAAGTATTTATTTACGTATTAGCTATATAAAAAAGATGAGGCTGGAACACAGATCGCCGAGGACGATTCGCACTATTCAATCTTGTCGGGATGGATTGAGTTCCAGACCTGACTTGCTTCATTCTGTACCTCCCGTGGTTGCTTCTCCATTATTTCGCGCGTTTCCCTCTCGTACTGCTCCAGCGGGATATCCATATTTTGTTGCAATTTCAGCAAATTTAACAGGACCTTTTTCGCTTCGTCACTTCCGTCAGCTTCTTCCAGTCTCGAAGTTAACACATTGTAACGTTTCTGCTGAAAAGCTGCCTCCTTTTCAAGATGTTTCTCGAACAATTCCTGCAAAATAGTCTACGTTGGATATGTTTAATCAAAAATTTGTTAATGAAATTGCTTAAAGTCAGAATTAGTTGTGGTACTTAGTGCTGTACTAGTAAATCTAGTGAGCAACGGATGTACGAGAACTTCGACGCGGAGGAGGAGGAGGTAGGGAACGGAGAAGGTAGTGGCGTCACTGTATTTAGCTATCCAGCTTTTTATATCGTATTTAGAAGTACTCTGACGAGCAATTTCGTTTGGGTACTTGGTTTACTCAATAGACGGTTTCGGCGAGTGTATCAGTAAGAGGAGGGAGAGTTTTGGAAAACCTCTTTTTCATACAGACTCTTTCTGACCTGAAGCGTGTGTGACGAAGAGCAGAGTTGTTCAAATGGATGTCCCGGTTTAGAAATTTGATGTTTGAAGGATAAGTACAAATACTTGTAATGGCGAAGTTCTTGCCTTGCCTCTCCACTCTGCCAACAGAAATTATAAGATACAAAAATAAAACAATAATTGAGTCATCTTTCGATGACATTTCTTTCCAACGTCGGGAAGCGACTTTTCCATCGAAGATCGGATCTCTGACAGGGATCAAACTCTCCGTTCCCAAACCATCCTTTCTCCGCCAACATTCTCATCGTAGTTTGAATTTACGACGGCATAATCCATCTCTGGTTCCCATAGCATTAACTATGGAATCCTGGATTTGGAGATTGTAATGCGTGATATCTGTTACAGGATCATTAGTATATAAGATGCACGATCCGAGGTTCGAAGTCCGCGTTTATCATTCCTCTAGGTTCATCAATTCAGTCCTTTGCGTCAGCTTATCCGACTCCGTTCACCGGTTGAGTGCCCTACGTTAATTAATCCAGTCACGCTACCATCGGTGATCCGTCATTCGTTCGTTTTATCTCGTGCCTTTGTTTCGTATCTTCTCGTTGCGCTGCATCAGCCTAGCACCTTAATTATGCTTTTTGCACATATGCAAAAAAACGCATATTGTGACGACCCCCGTGTATGTGTGCGTGTGTCTGTCTGTCTGTCTGTCTGTCTGGGTATTTCAGCTCGGTACCCAAACAAGCTCCGGCTGCCAAAATTTTGCCAGTGGGTTCCCCAGCCAAGTATCGCCTCAGGACCGCGGCGTCTGGGCCGGCGTACAAGACGGTGAAACTTTTGGCTGGAAAATCGCTAGCTTGGTAACCAGAAAAACTAGAAAGCTGAAATTCTGCGATTACGTTAAAAACAAGTCAAAGATTTCAAATCCAGCCCCAGATGTGAGTGTTTTCTTACGTACGGCCCCGTGAAGGTCTCTGACGTGAAAATCATTATCTTGGGATCCAGGAAAGCTGGGATGCTGGAATTTTTAGGGAATGTATCGATGGAGCGAAGGAACCTAACAATGGCGTTGCCAGTGATAGATCCTTTCGCACCATCGACACATTCACATGCGGTACCAGAGTCACAGTCTTCCAGTTTACTGATTACCTCAACTTGGGGACCTTGTTTCCGGGCCCATTCTTTGCATAACTTATTAAACTGATTCTTCGTTAGCTGCATTTGTTGGTCGAAAAGGTTATAGTATTCATCTCGTCCTTTCTGCGATACTGGTTCTAGGAATTCAGGCAAGGTCGATTGTCCGAAGCAGTGTGCTGGTAGCATCACCACAACAACAAGCCATAACAAAAATGCTCCAAACGTAGCATCTCCCAAATTGCTTCGTATCATGCTGGTCAACACTGAAAACGGCTGCATTTATTTTATGATTTTGCGCCCACCGGGAAGTGCCAAACAACACCGGAAGTATTCTTATTGCAGACTAGTGCACTTCTGAAATAAGCCTATTGATCGGCTGAATGTGGTTTACTTCAGTTTGTATAGCACCCGAAGCATTTTCGCTTTGTCGGTCAGCCTTTACACTCAACGATATTAGAATGGTCGATACAGTAGCGTTACTGAGGTTCAAGGGTATATTTAAAGGTTTAAAAGCATTGTTCTAAAATTTAGAAAAGTAACATTAAATTATAACTGATCTTCCAGTTCTTGAATTAATGTTCAACTTCCGGTCCTTGAATTCGTACGCATTCCTGCTGAGCACCATAACTGGTCCTCATCAATATGACAGTGTTGTAGAGTCAAATTAGTTTCAATAAGAAATTTAGTAAATAATTTTTGGTTAGTGAAAAAAGAGCAACAGGAAGATTAGAATTTATGGTACAGTGCTGTGCAAATTCGATTACTCAGTTAAGATTATTGAGGACGGAATCTTCCGAAATTTCATTTGGGGCGTGTCCGCAAATTTTGACAAATTTCATGCTAATCAGAAGGTTGGGATCTCAGTACCCTCCTTTCTATGAAGGCTGTAAATTCTAGCCACTTCACACCAAAAACAAACAGTACTTTATTTAATGAAACGAAAAAGAGGATAATCGGAAGAAGACGACGGCGGCGTGAGCACAGTTAGCAGCAGGAGCAGCAGGACTAAACTGCTGTCATCCCATTTGCAACATTTCCGGACTTCTCTAACTTTTCTAACCACATCATTTTACACGGCAGAAAACTCGAGTCACAAAGCAGAGCATTGTACGATATTCTCTATTACATGAAAGCGAAGACCGCCTTCATTCCTTTCTACATTTGCGCATTTTTCCTTTTATGACAGAAGCATTTGGAATGGCACAAAAGATGACTCTCCGCCAAAATCACTTACTTGCTGGCAAGGCTGATGAAGGCTCCCTTTTACGAATCCTGACTGTCAGTCACACTCAAGGCAATGCTATATGACATGCATTAACAGCGCTAATTAGCCTCTAGACAGCATGAGTTTTTGTATCTGCATAAAGTGCAAGAACGCATAAAAACAACAGTATCAAACCGCCTGGACAATTTGTGCTTTTACTCCCACATGCCAAAGGCTTTTCATTCTTTTTTATGAATAATCCATATACAGTTAAAAAAGCACTTCTGTCCCCTCTACAAAAAACGTGAGCGTCCGTCACTTGTTAGGTGTTTCAAGAAGTACTGCGGTTCAAGTAGAGTAAAATGATTTAGGACGAAATGGTACTACGTTGCTAATGCAGTCTAAAAAACAAGTAAAAAACTTCGTGTTAATCTAAAAAAAAACAAGAAAAAAGCTCTAAAAATATGAAATTAAATGATTAGGAACTAATGAAAAGAAACTCCTATAGTGGGGTGAAAAGAACACCCAAAAGTGCTCATGTTGAAATTCACGGTACGTTTCCGTTCAGGCTTCTGTTTTCGTATGTTAGGCAGTACAAGCCGCGGGGAAAA